GAGTATATACTGCTAATACAGTGCAGACAATACATTTACAATTATACTAACATGAATGTATTAAATGATCTGTATGTAGCCCTGTACTATGGATCATTTAACCCATTCATGTTAGCAGAGGATCATTGTAAATGTATTGTTGCAGGCACTCTATATGTACATGTACTATATACTACATATAGAATGCACTGAACAATAGATTTACAATTATCCTCTGCTAATATGAATGGGTTAAATGATCCGTAGCACATAATATGTAGCCCTGTACCCCCTTTTCCACTTACAGAGCTAGGTTATTATTTTTCTTTTAAATAAATATTCATGTAATTTTATTGGTATCTATCTACCAGTAGCTGCCTCATTTCCCACCCTCGGCTTATATTCGGGTCAATACTTTTTCCCAGTTTTTTGTGGTAAAATTAGGTACCTCGGCTTATATTCGGGACGGCTTATACTCTAGTATGTACAGTATTTATTTTTTTATTTGTGACTTTTTTTTTTTTTAGCTTCTTTATTTTTTTTAACTTTATTTTTTTTACACTTAACTTTATTTCTATCACATAGGGGATTTCTTAGTCCCCTATGTGATAGCCAATTCACATGACAGATCCTCTTTATGGAGACATCAGGGGTCTCTAAGACCCCTTATGTCACCTAAGGACCCCCAGAGAAGCTGATGAAGCAGAGATCTGCTTCATCAGTTTCTCTCCAGCGTCAGATCTAGAGAGCTCCTGGCTGGCCGTTTTTTTTACAACGGCCGGCCGGGAGGTAGTTAAAGAAGAATAAAAAAAAAGGGGAAAAAATATCTTAACCCTTGCAGTGGGGCTACAGTGCAGTGGGAACTCCCTTTGATCTCCACTGGCAGCGTTGTCATGCCGGCCCCAGACGCACCGTGCACAGCAGCCATGGAGACAGCGGAAGTACGGGGGGGGCGCACACCCGCAGCTACTACAAGCGATCGGGCGTCTCTTGAGACGCCATCGCTGGCTGTTTAGATTGCTGATAGTTTCCCCACTCGTGTGCGTGCTGGGCGCCGCGCACGAGCGGGGGGAGGGGAGGAACGTCTTAAGACGCCCTCCCGCTGCTATAAGGCTCCCGTCCGGCCGTTCAGGAGCGGCCATGGACGGAAGGTGGTTAAATTGAGTGGTTCAACAAATGTATACAATAATTTTCTGGCCAGTAATAAGCATGGATCGTTGCACATTTCTAAAGTCATATATGGCGATCATTCTGATATATGCATAATCTATTGGATGGGCTGGCCCTTTAAAGTAAAAAAAAGATCCATATTTTCTAGGGCTGGGGAAATTAACGATTAATTCCTCAATTAATCGTTAAACTTTTTGATCGATTTAAAATTCTTTTGAGCGAAAATGAAAAGACTCGCCTCTCCGCCGGCTTCCGGGAGTCCTGTCGGAGATCCGGTGACGTCACTGACATCAACGTCACCGGACTCCCCCGCCA